TGAGCTGAGATGTTTCGTTCTGAAATGCTATTGAGAAGAAGTTTTTGGATCGATGCAAGCGAAGCTTCTTCAGGATTGCTGTTGTTAAAGATCTGACTAAATATCTCTGTAAAAGCCATTGACCGAGGTTCTGCCTTGCTGGCATATTTAGAAATATAATATAAGACCGCGTAGATGCTGAGAACTAGCTTTAGGTTGACATTAGCATGCTAACCCTGCAATTAGAGTCAGCTGTGCGGATTAAGAATTGGATCATTTCTTGCTATAATGAGATCGAGCTGCCCATTATTATCGTCGCGTATGAATATACTGTCGCTGTGATCCATAGGATATCCAAATCTGCACTTTTGTTGATGCATTCTTCTGTCGACTCTAAGACAATATGAAGGGCTACAATGTGTGTGTCGCTGTAGTTTATTGATCAGTTCGATATAATCTTGTGAACTGTCATCTATTTCATCACCACGTTTTTGGTATGAGTGTTGTTCTGGTATAGCTGCGTTGATTTCCGGATTGACTGTGGTAACTATTGAATCTATATATCATATTATATTGTCTATTTCTCCTTCATTTTCTTTTAATTGCTTCTAATCAATTACAGGCGCATTCCGTATCTTTCCTATACTGTGTACGTGTATACTTTCCTGATGCTGCCACTCATATTGGAACCACTAATCTTTCAGGTTCCATCGAGGTGCTAACACATCATGGAAGAATGTTTCAAAATGTTTATCAAAGAACTAAGAGGCAACATGTGGATTATCTACAATATTCTTCATATGACACTTTGCAAAGTCCGAATCTTTCCTGTCATCTGGCATTAATTAATGGAGTTCAAGCCAGTGAAAATCGGTCATGCTAAAGGTGAAAAATATTAGTCCTTAATGACCCATCTGCTTAACTATATCTAATAACTCGTAATGTCTAGCTATCTAAAACTGTCTCAAATCACGTAACCCTTTCCCATATCTCATTATCCAGTCTGCTATTCAATTGTCTCCATTGCTAATTATTTCCTGGATGTCTGCAACATCAAGTTACCTTTCGCTTAAATGCTGACTAATGTAAACCTTTCCTTCTTGTAAAACCCTCTATCTCATTGTAGAGTTCAAAGCAAAATACCTCCACCTGGAATGTTTTGCGAACCTTCCGTCTTTATACTACAACAAATGCTTAAATATTCTGCCAGTTTAATGTTCTGAGGCCGTTCAGAACAAAGATCACCACATCTGTATAAATAAAGAGTTAGAAATGCTCTTACTATATATCCAGATGTACTAAATTCATTGACAGAAATGCCTTCGATCTCTGGTCAAATCAAAGGAGAATTGTTACTTTGCACGTGGTTAAGCGTATCATTAATAGTATCATCTTTACGCTGTGTTAGAGGTAGAGATGATACGAACGAATGTGATATTTATTTGTTTTCATTTCTTTGTCATCTGATATATCGTCTGTTATTTCATCAGGAATCTGCTTAAGTTGACTACTTATAGATCTATTTACAGGTAACGATTAGATAATTTCATTGTCAATAATTATGTCTTTATAGTAAATGTTGTTTTCTTTTAACCAAAATAGGGCTCTAGCAATTTTTTCGTGACATATAATGAAATCCCTGAAACCTGCTGGATCATTTTCTAACTGCCATCGCACCAAGAGTATTTCTAATAATAATAGATATCGCAAAAGCCGATTTGTGAATTCTTGCATGTCTTGAGGGAAGTTTATGACATTTACCCTGTAGGCATTTTGACCTCCTTGGAGTCGATATACCGACATTACCGTAAAAACTTGGCGATTAACATCTCTTCGATCTCTGTAAGACCTTTTAATTCTTCCAGTATGTCTTCAGGATCCATATTGTTTTCGCCTGAAAACTTCTTTGGTGATTTCTTTCTATATAGCAACGCTGGCATATTTGCTTGATAATCATCATTAGCGGAATTCGCTCGTTGCATACAGGATAAAATTTATACCTAATGTAGCTATTTTATTGCGGAATTTCTGCAATAAACTATGGTCTTCTTCGCTGATAGTTGTGGCTGAGAGTGGTCTATCATTTATGGGTGAGTCATCTCTACTTTGATTTTGCGCTGCAGATACATTACGGATTTGTAGGTTTTGAAGGCGTGCTTCACGTTTACACTCATTCTCAAGTCCAAGACGAATCTTACGTTCCTCGGTGGTCTCATCCGAACTTTTTTCCATTCTTCGTTCTCGCATGCTTGTAAGCCTGTCCTCACGATCTTTTGATGATTCATCTGCTTGTTTTTTCCATTTTCTTTCCCAATCATGTGCAAGATGTTCTTCACGTTGTTCATTTGTCTCATCGTCTTTTTCTTTACGCTTTCGGAGGTCTCAGGATTAGTGGGTATATTGCTCATTTTTTTTATATCAAACTTTGATTTTAAGAATTTTATTATATGTAATCCAATCTTATTATTGAAAGTAACCTGATCTTATTAATTATTAGTATAATATTATCTGTTATTGTATTAGGAAATTAGAAAAAAATCAAATTATATAGTTTTGGGTTGGTAAGATTCTTATTTCAGATCGATTTTACATTTAGATACAATTGAGACTTTTGTTATATAAATTTTTTTTTCTTACAAGGCCAATTATGATAGATAACAAATAAATTTATAAGCTGATACGAACACAATTAAAAAGCATTAATATTGTTACATGTGCATTATTTTTTAATTAAAGCAAAATGATATTTATTTAATATACTTTTGTAGTCTATTTTATTAAGAACTTGTTTGTGTTATATTTTCTAATAGTTTATTTTATTAAGGTTTTTTATTTTATGTTACATTTTCTAATAGTTGGCTATTATAATTAATAAAACTAATTAATTAGACACGTTAGTTAACTTGATTGTGTTATATTTTTTAATAGGCATTTTGAGTTACTTTAGTTAGAATTTCGTTTTAGACTTAATAACGGTTTACCATTCCCTATTTTTTTATTTAATATTAGAATTAGATAGAGGCTTAACTTTATTATATTAGTATCATATTAATTAAATTTATTAATATAATATATTTATTATTATATTAGTTTTTTATGTTGATTATTAATTAGTATAATATTTAACAAATAGTTTTTTTTAGTATTTATATAAAATATAATAATAATGCTATTGTTTTAATTATGAAAAATATTTTTATATTAATTATGAATATTATATAAGTATTATTATTTTTTAATTATTTTTGATTTTTAAATTTGATGTGAATTTGTTTTAGAAATATTAGTTAGTCTTTAATATTTTGTAATAACTTTTTTGTTAACTAAAAATAAAAATAAGATATTTTAATATTATTCAAATAATACATTTGCTAAAATAATATAAGCTTAAATAGGTAAGAATATATTTTTATTTAATATAATATATACTCTTAGCAAGATTAGGCTTTAGTTATAACAAGTTAGAATAAAAGAATTCTGTAAGAAAATTATATACAGTAATAATTATTTTCATTTAATTGAAAATAATAGATATATTTATAAATGTTTATGTTAATTATAGAAAAGACAACTATATATTGAATATTAAAATTTATTATTACTTTTATAGTACTGTTGCAAATGCCTTGATCAATAATAGAATTATTAAAATATATTATATATGTGTCTGATTATAATAAATAGATAAAGAAAAATATCAGAAAATGAAAGATCCTATTGAACAAAATCTATAAATCAAATGCTTGTAAAATTAAAATTTTATTATTAGAAATAGGAAGTATATTACAAATAGCTCTATTAATTTATTGAGCAGTTTTTTTAAAGCCTACAATATGTATTGTATTAAGAAGAGTATCAATCAGAGATTTAGTTAAAAATTATAAATGTTGTTATTCTAACATATTTTAGGTTTGAGAGAAAATATTTTCAGTTTGTATTTTTTGTAATATTTAATAGAATCTTAAAATCTTGTCTGAGATTATTTATAATATTTGTATGTAGAAACTCTTAATTAGATAATGCAGTAAGGTTAGGATAGAAAGATAGAGAAATGTTAGGTTTTATTATAGTGGGTAAATAGTAAATGGATCATATACTATCCAAGCACTTTTTCAGGATATAAGAGTCTTTTGTAATAAATACAGGTAATTCAAAACCATTGGGTTAGAATATTATTTTAGAACTTATCATATAATTTTTGCAATTTTAGAGAAGAAATCCAATATATTAGTTGTAAATTTATTTGATTGATATTAGGTTAGAATCATTAGTTGTTTAAATAGAATGGTTTAGAATAGTTTTATAATCATTATCAAATGTGCAAATATTATTTAATAGATAAGTCATATTTTTTGAAAATATTGCGATAAAGTTTAGGGAAAATGATGAGATTATAATTAAGTAGAAATTACTATAATTGATCAGTCTATAAAGTTGGAATCTAGGTTAAAAATTTAGATTGTTGAATGTTAGGATCAGATTATAATAGAGTAAGAATCGAATCAATTTATTTAAAATAATTCAAAAAAAAGGTTAATAACAATTCAAAAAAAAGAGTGATTAAATTTTATTTTTTATTATATTTTGTAAATTTTCTGATATAATTTTGTGTGTTGTTACATAAAAAAAAAAGTTATTTTTGTGAAAGGATATAAAAAAAAAAATTTTGAGTATCATAAAAAATGATAAAAACGATTTTATTAAATATTTATTTGATCGGTCGTTTCAGAGGAGTTTTATTTAGGAAGGAAATCAGTTTTTAGGATTGGATTAGCTTTGTAGTGCTGCTATAAGGTTTTGTTGTGATGTTGATCTTATTTACAAGAAAGTAAGTTAATTAAATTTTGTTATATTGAATTTTTTATTTTTTTTTATTTGAAAATTTATTGAAATTAAACATACTATATAATAATTGGGACAGGTAACAAATTTTCCTTTTAAATAGATAACAACTCCTATTTCGAAGGCATTGATGTGACATTTGATACTTGAATCTAATGGATAAATGCTTTTATCTGCAAATGGGCAATTTTTGTTGGTATCATTCAAGTCTTGAAATTCCTATAATTTCTTCAACAGTAAAGCGTTGGGTAATGCGTTCATTGCAAGAGTAGACATAACAATTTTGGCAGGCATTGTAGTTAATGATATTGATTCTTATTTGCGAAAGAAATCCGTGTGAAAAGGGGAGTTTTTTATTTATTTATTTTTTTAATAAAGTGATGAATTTTTTTTTAATTAATCAAAGGGATAAATTTTCGTGATAAGGAGGATCTCGGGAAAAATTCAATCTGTGAGGGATCATTTTTAGTAAAAATTAGGAAACCTTATGAAGAATCTTATGAAGAACGTATGTAGATTTTGAAGATTTGTGTTCTGTTTCGCACGAAAAGCGGTTTCGGTTGTTGGGAAAATCCAGTTTTTTTTAGATTTGTATTTCATTTGACAGAAGATGTCCAAGGAGAATCTTATCGGAAATTTTTTATTGGAATAAAAAGCATTAGATATTTCCAAAAAAAATAAATTAATTTTTTTTATAAACAAATAATTTGATCTGATATAAGCGAGGGTGGGCAGGTGGAGAATCTATTTAGTATTTAGATTAGAAATACTAATCTATATCGAAGTCTATGATAGTTAGCTATTGGGCGGAAGAAGTTTCTTCTAATTTGGGTAAGCAGATCTGACCAGAAAAGAATATACGTAGCAAGTGTTTTGATGATCTTTACTCGAGGACTTCTTGGGTAATAGGATTCAAAATAATATAAATAATATAATCAAATCAAAGAATTTCAATAGTGATCAATTCCATTCCATAGATTATGTACTCGTTTTTCTTCCTCGAATTCTTAATATCACATATAAATAATCATTATGCGTATAATAACGTGGAATGTTAATGGGATTAGGTCAATAATAAACTATTATCCGTAAGTTTATTAAAGCGATTACTTTCAAATTTTCCTTACTAGTAAATAATTTTTATTTTTTTTTTCGAATTTCTAAGTTGGAATAAACACAGAGAATATAAGGTTAGTTCTTATATAGATAATATTTAAAGGAAAAAAAAAAAACTTACTTTTTAAAGAGAATTTAATAGAATATTATATATTTAGCAAATACTGGATACACTAAATGCTGATATAATTTGTTTTCAAGAAACGAAAGTTACTATAGATAAACTAGATTCTTCCCTTGCAATAATACCAGGATATGACGCTTATTTTTCTTCTTCAAGAGGAAAAGGTGGATATGCTGGAGTCGTAACATATGTAAGGACAAGTACCGTTAAACCAATTGCAGCTGAAGAAGGAATCTCTGGCGTTTTAAGTGAAATACCCGCAAATGCTAAATCAAAAGATAATATGACGACATCAGGAATCAAACCTAGTATTACTAGTGAATTTACAACAGATGAGTTGTTAGAAATAGATTCGGAAGGTCGATGCGTTACTCTTGATTTTGAAACATTTGTTTTGTTCAATGTATATTGTGTACATGAATCCTCTCAAGACCGTCTTCCCTACAAATTAAAATTCTATAAAATATTACAAAAGCGTGTGGAAGCTTTGCTTGATTCTGGGAGACAAGTTATAGTTATTGGAGATTTAAATGTTACACATAAAGAAATAGATCATTGTGATCCTCAAAAATCAATGAAAGAGTATGGTTTAGAATCTTTTGGTGATCATCCGGCAAGAATATGGTTTGATAGTTGGGTTTCGCCGAATGGTCCAATGATTGATTTGTGTAGGAAACTTCATCCGGATGAAGAAGGAATGTTTACATGTAAGTTCTTCTGTTTATCATGGTATATTGCTCTTTTAAACAGATTAACAGTATATTTTAATAGGCTGGAATGCAAGAATTAATGCAAGGTGATAAAATAATTTCATAATATCTATCATGAATCTTTCTTTCTATGTAAAATTTATTAATTACATTTGTTGTAAATCAAATATCAGACCAATAAATTATGGTAATGTATAACTTGCTTTTTAAAATTTTAATATAATAGCAAATTAATTTACATCTTATTTAGGAACGCGTTTAGATTATATACTTGTTAGTGAAGGCTTGGTAAAATGGTTTAAATCATGCGATGTAAAACAAGATATTATGGGGTCTGATCATTGTCCAATATTTGGCGAATTATTTGATGAAATATATGAAGGGGATCATAAACTTTCATTATTTAAGGAAGATGCTTTAAAGGCAACAACACCGAAACTTTGTGCAAAAAATTTGGCAAGATTTTCGGGAAATCAGCAAACACTGAAAAGCTTTTTTACCAAGCAGGATATAAGAGAAAAACAAGCGCAGGAAATGAAATTAGAAACTTCGAAGATTAGTAATGATGAAAATGTAAAAAAAATAACTAGTATAATACCATCGGATTCATCAAGTTACATTTCTGAAGGTTTAAAAGGGCAATTGGAACTTGAAGGGAAGACAGGAAGTCAATATCTAGTTCAAAAGAATAAATTGAACCCTTCAAAGTCAACAACGAGTTACAAAACCAAGACAAAATCAAAATCATCATCTTCAAACCAAGCACCTTTAATGTCATTTTTCAAAAAAACCATTCAAGAAAAATCACCAGAAAAAAAATTAGAATTAGTAAACAAGTCGGAAGAAGAACGGGTAGAGTTAGATTCAGTCAATATATCTGATTCCTCAAATTCACCTGAAGAATCTTTATATGATATGCTTGATAATGAATATGAACGCACGGAGATTTCTCCCAGTAATAATAAAGAAGAAATACAATCTCAATGGAATGATTTATTCAAACCAAGGCCTATTCCAAATTGTATTGTACATGGAGAATCATGCAAAGAATATACGGTTAACAAACCTGGAATAAATCAGGGAAGACGATTCTACTTGTGTTCGAGGTAAAGGAAAAAAAAAAGTTCACTTTTTTACTTTTATATTATACAAGTTCACTTATTATTTTCTTAAATAGACCTGTTGGAAATTCTCAGGAAAGCCGTTGTGACTATTTTGAATGGGTCAATGGGAATAAATCCAAGTTTTCGAAGCCTGTAAAAAGATCTTTTTCAGGCCAAATTCATGATAATAAGTCAAACAAAAAGAAACGAGATTCTTAATAAATTTTACAAATTCATTAAATAGATTACTTACAAAAAAAATCTAATAAATATTCAATTAAAACAGAAGATACACACCAATGTGACCGTTGATCAATTATGAATAAGATAAATTCAGCTTTTATATTTAATAGATTATGAGGGTGAGTTCTTTTTTCTAGCTATAACATTAAATTTTTTTTGTCTCGATATATTTTAACCGATTAAATAACTTGATTATTATAACTTTTCCTAAAATTTCAAATTGATGAATAATATTTTATAATTTTATGAATCATTTAAATTTTATGGTAATCTTTAAAAAGTTTTTTTAATAAATTAGTTAAAAGTTAACCAGAAAAAGGAATATCACCATCTATTAAGGTTTTAATAAAAAATTTATTAAATTTGGTTTATTAAGTTATTACATTGTGACTTACATATAATTTTATTCTGCTAATTAATAAATAAGGGAATCTAATTATCATCGCTCACTAATAACTTAAAACTGAAATAAAAAAAAAAAAAAAATAACCTCTCCATAAAATATATCATCAATCTCGATATTTTTCAAAGAATTCATGATGAAATCTTTGTAATCTTTCACAAAATCCATCAAATAATTCTTCGGGCGGTAAAAATGTACTTCTAAAATGCCATGTATCAGCTTTTTGACCAAATCCACTACCAGGAACAACGCATACACCTGTCGCGTTAAGCATAGCTAAACAATAAAATTCGTCAGGTTGTTTGCTTGCTTGACGAGCAGCTTCAATTGATTTTTGTGGTAGACGAATTTGAGGAAAAAGATACATTGATCCCTTTAAAGAAAAACAAATTCCGTTAAATTAAAATGGATTTGAATGAATATGAGGTGTTCTTGAATTCGTTCATCTCACCTGAGCATTATTACACGTGACACCCTCTAATTGGTTGAAACATTCACTTAATTTTATGCTTCTCCTTCGTAAGCTCTCATAAATTCCACTTAATTCTTTTTGGTATAACGCATAACTCTCGTCTCCACATTTTGGTGGTTGAACCATTAAATCTACCATGATTTGTCCTTGAACATTGGGACAAAGACTAACTGATGCAAGTTTATAAAGTTGGTCAACAACGGGAGAATCAATACCCGTACATTCATAATAACCTCCTCTTCTACCACATTCTCCTATCATGCCTTTAGAAACTGAATGAAAAGAAAATAACTCGAATTGCTCATATTTTTCTCCCATTGATCTAAGGACTTTTTTAAAAGAATGAAATGGACGTTCAGCAGGCTGATAAATATTTGTTTGATAAACTTCATCAGCCATTAAAATAATACGTTCTTTATGACAAAAATCTATAATTTCGCGCATGTTTTGTTCTGTTAAGCATTGACCAGTGGGATTACCAGGGTTAATAATTACAAGCGCACGAATATCTAACCCTTTCGAACGACCTTCGGAGAGTGAAGAAGCTAATTGACTGATATCTAATCCCCAATCTTTCTCTTCATCTAAATAGTACGGTACTGGCTGTGCATCATAAAGCGCCAAAGTAGCAGTATAAAGAGGATATTGTGGTATAGGTATCATGATACCAACGTTAGAATGTGCAATTAAAAGTTGAAGTATACTTTGAACACCTGCCGAAGCACCTTGAGTAAGGAAGATGCTACTTTGCTCGGCAGGATATCCATCACGTTCTAAATTAAGAAATTTAATATCGAAGAATTTCTAAATGAAATTTGAAAGAAATTACCAACCTTCGATGAATTTTGCAACATTATCTCTTATACAAGGAATTCCCTGAGAATGAGAATATGCGCCAATACTTCCGATTTGTTTAAGTAGCCTTCGTGCACGATCAATTGCATCTGAAGGATACAAAAATTCGATTTGCTTACGATTTTCGGGCAATAAAAGATCAGGATATTCCATTAAGGAAGCGACCTATTCAAATAATAGAGTATATAAAAAATTTGAAATCGAACTATTTCATAAATAAATAGTAACATACTTGACGGAAGAAAGTTATGGGCTTTTGTTTAAGTTGTTGTGGATTTCCAATATTACAATTCACAACAGTATCGAAACGATAATTGTGTGAATATCCATTAGACAATTCATCTTTGATTCTTTCGGCGCAAATTGCCAATTCACCACGAACAGCATATTCTACCCTCTTAACGTGAGGGTTAATGGTTTCGTAAGTAAGAATTTTTGAAGGTTTAGACGCTAAGTAATTTTAAGCGGCGATAAAGAAAATTAATTTGAAAGCAATGCGAATAACTTATTTGGTCCAACTTAGAAAACTAACCTTGTTGTGCAAAGTTGGAAACAGACATGTTAAATTTTTTTATATGAATTCGTGAGTATTGATTTATTAAAAAAGTTGTCGACGTTCGATTACATGCAACGGCAATAGAGAAATAGGTAGGTTTATATATTTTTTGTAGCATCATAAGTCAAAAAATATACGTAACAAAGTTTCAGAGATTATCTACTTTAACAATAAAATAATTTTTCAGAAATGATCGTCGAAAAAACGCGCTCTTTTTTTTTTGGTTCGTCCAGATTTGTCTACTTTGTATTTTATTTGTTATACCAAAAAATCATCCGATAATAATAAAGCATTTATATAACTTAAACTGAGGGGGAAATCCATGTTTCATTAGTTCTATACCATTTTAATCTGATCCGATTTTTTTGAAATTATTTTAACCAATTAAAAAATGGTAAGAATTGAGCAGATAAATTCCAAATTGATCTGTTCCATTTTAAAATTTTAACCAATCATGTTAATTAAACAAGATGTAAACAATGCTTTATTAATAGAGAAGATAAATAATTCTTTTAATCATGAACTAAATGAACTAGAAGATGATATTTTCAAACTAATAAAAGTAGCTTTTTTTGTTTTATCTTCTCATTATCTTATTTTTCGAATACATAATATTGTTAAATCCAAATATTGGTAATATAAAATATTGCCTTTATATATTTTAAAAAACTTTACGAATGGAAAAGCTGCAGTTTAATAGATTAGTATAAATTTTAACACTTGTTATTAATAAACATAATTTTAAAATAGAATTGTTTAATAAATATTATTTAATTTTAATTCTAATTCCAATTTTAACCTTTTAATCCTAATAACTAATCCTACCTTTAATTTTAAATTTTTAACCTTTTTAAATAAGAATTTGTATTGAATTCTTATATAAAAAAGTTACACATAATATAAGAAGTGTTAATGAATGTAAAAATCTAATTAAAGCTTCTCAAATTTTTGAATTTTTTTATTACCAAAATTATAGATTTTATTAGCTTTATGGAAATAAGATACACTAAATTATCTCTTTAAAATAATAATTCAATTTTACTTATTTTTGAAACTGTTTAAAATCTCATTGAATATATATAGAAGTTAACTTTTTAATTTCAAAAATGAAATAAATATATTACTAAAACTTTTTTTAATGATCTTAAGCATATCTATGTAGGTTTATTTTGAAAAATTACATAAAACTTTGTATTATTTATACTATATTAAAGTCAATACATAAATCTTGAAATAACAATGAATGTCATTTTCTTCAAAACAAACTTTTACTTTACTAAATGAAAGCTCTAATAATAATTTTTATATTATATTAATAAATAATTTTAATATATTAATACTAATAAATACTACAATAGATTAAAAACTAATAAAAAATTAGATAGTAGTTTTATCTTATTGAAAGATTTATTAGAAAAATATTTTAGATTTATAACTAAATAGTGATGAAAATATATTATTTACATTTTTCTTAAATTAATATAAGGCATAATACTATAGAATTAATAGAATTTTTGTCTCTTCAAACTTCAATACTAATCTTCTTTACTGCAGCTATTTAAACTTTAATTTACAAATCTGATCATAAAATTGTAACTGCATTCTTTACTGATTTTATTTTTAAATAAAAAGTAAATCTAAATATAAAGAATATTACAAAAGAAAATTTAATCTTTTATTATTAATCCTTTATAATGAATTTTATTTGCTAAAATATTAGATAATAACTATTAATAATATAGTTTTAACAAACTATTTTCACTTCTATCATCATTTTCTTTTATAAAATATATATACGAAACTATTAGAGAAGCTATAATATTTATTACTATTAAATATGTATTTAATTATTAAATATTTATTGATCAAAATATACTAAAATTAAAAGAAATTATAATTTTTTATAATAATTTGAAATGATTAAATAAATTGTACTTAAATTGATTATTTTGAATAAAAACAAATTTTGACCTATCAGTGATGAATAAAAAAATGATTATTTAGTTATTATAAAAATATTACTTAAAGCTAAATTTTAAAATCTTCAGTTATCTGAGTTTATTTATAAAGATAATGTTAAGAAAGTTCAAAATTCTTATTAAAACTTTACTAAAATATTAAAATGCTTACTTAAATAGAAGAAGAACAATTAAAAAAATAAGTAATCAAGTATTATATATATTAAAAATATCTTCAATATAAAACTAACCTTAGAAAAATAATTCAGTCTACATTAGAAAGATCTAAAAAATTAATTACATTTAATTATTTGTTATTAAATGATGTTAATTATAATAAAGTTCTAATAAATAATTTTAAAAAATAAAATAATAAGTTAAAAATATTTTCAAAATTTTGTACTTTTTGATACCTTTATCATTTTTTTTTATTTAATTATTAAATAAATAATATTAACTAAAATATAATATATTAAAATTATAATATAATAATGTAATATAACTTTTTATTATAGAAGAATAATCAGCTATTATATTTTAACTTTCAAATGATAAAATAGTAAGACTTTTAAGAATTCACAATAAATTTATTAAATATTTAGAATTTTTTATATAACTATTACTTTAAAAACTTATAAAAAGATGTTTCAAATTAGGTAATATTTCTTTTTAGTGGAAAATTACTTACATATATCTCATTTTTAAGTTAATAAATTAAGATTATAATTTTTTAAAAATCAGATCAATTATCTTACTTAAAACTACTCAAAAAGTATTTATTAAAATTATCATTAATCATTTATCTAAAATAACAATCAAATATAATGTATTTAAAAAAAATTTTACTAAACTTTTAGAAGATTCAATTGAAAAATCTTATAAAACTACTGAATCTAATTATTAAGAATACTATTAAATATAAAACGGATTTGTAGATTTTCTTTCAAGATACATCTAAAATTTATAATAGAATAAAGTTTAATATACTTAAACTTATTCTTAAAAAAACTACTTTATTAATATTTTTACTAATAAAAAGAATACTATTTTTATTAAGAATGAATTATTAGATTATTATAATATTAAAATAATGATTGATTAAGTGAAGTAATTTTTTTTTTACTCTAGTGTATATATTTTGATCTATTATTGTATAAAATTTAAGGTTCAAAAAAAGTTGTAACTTATAATACTCTTAGATTTTTGATATAACAAATATAATTATATTATTACTTTTTACTTAAATTTTAGCTTTTAGTTTTATGAATGATTCTAATTAGATAACAAGTTTAAAAGATAAATTAGAAAATATTCTAAATATTATAAATAAATTCTATAATATAATAAAAATGATTTTTAATAAAAATAAATCATATTTATTAATTATTATAGTAACTTCATTTTCAAATTTAGTTTAAGTCTGATTGATATTAAGCTTAAATTAAGATTAATTTATTTTTCTTAGAGTATAGATTAATATATTTTACTTATTAATTTTTGTAAAAAATTAAATTAAAAAATAAATTGCTTTTTTTATATATTTTAAAATTTAAAGTATTAATAGAAAAACAATTAAATATGATTCTCAATTTATTATAAAATACTGTTTATAAATTATGTTACTTTCTTTTTAATAAATATTATTTATTGTCTATTACTATTAAAAAACTTATCAAATATAACTTATCTTTTGCTACTTTTATACCAAATTGTATTCAAGAATAGTTTTTTTATAATCTTAATAATCTTTAGACTTTACAATTAAAAATTCTTTCAATAGTTTTATTATATTAATTTAATTTGAATCTTATATAATAACTTCATTTTTTTTGATTTTCTTCTTTTACAACTTTAAAAATTAGATTGTTTTAACTTTAATCTAATTTTTTTTTTACATATCTTTTCTTTCTTCTATTAGAATAAGATTTTTAATAGATCTACTCATTCAATATTAGAATAATACTCAATCTAATAAACATAATAATATAGAAATTATATTAAATATTAATTGAATTTTAGTTAATCAAATTAAAAGAGGTTTTATTCTTTTAGATTTTTTATTTTCTTTAAGAATTTTAAAAAAAATTTTATATTATCAAAATATAATTTAATTTTTTTGGATTAATTTTTAAAAAAATAATACATATTTATTAAACTTGAAAAATATCTTATATAGAAATTTTTATAAAAACTTAAATAGATAAAGTAATATTCTTACTATTTATAAAATATATTTTAAATAGTAGTAACTATAGAATAATAAAAGATAATTTTAAATTATTTTTTATAATAATATCTATATAAATATAAATAATAAATAATTTAGAATTGATAATAAAAGAAGAAAATATGTAATAGCTTATTATTTATTTATAGATTAAATTACCATTAGAAAAATAGTTAAGAAATTTAAAAATTAAGATATAGTTATTATTCATTATTATATTCAAATTGAAAAATACTTTTTATTAATGAGTCTCTAATGATAAATCTATTAAACTATATAATAGATATATAATTGACAAGTTTCTATTCTTAGAATTTTATAGAAATTTTTAAGGAATTTGAATAAAACCTTTATTTATATTACCAATATTTATTATACAAAAGATAGACAAAAGTATCTGCACATCCTTCATAAAATGTGAATTAATGCTAGTAAAATCATATAATTGTAATAATAAATTATAGTCACATAACACTTAAGTATTTATTTATATTATAAAAATAAAAGAATAACAATTTATTTTTTCTTCTTCAAAAATCTAAAAAAAGTAAAAACTAAAGAATTAACTGCAATATCTTTTCATATAAAAAACAATTTTTGTATATTATCTTAATTAACTAAAAGTATCAATCTCAATCCAATTAAGAATCTTTGAGCTGAAGTCAAAAAAACATCTAAATTTATAAAAAACCTCTATCTAATCTTGTTGATATTGATCAATATATTAAAAAGGCATAGCAAGAAATTCTAAAATATACTATTAAAAATCTAGTCAATAGTATGCTGTAATGAATTCAAGCTATGATTGTAGTAAATGAC